TGGTCCACAAGCACTCAGAGTCGTGAAGAAGGCGCAACAGCCCCTTTTCCCCCTCAGGAGATTGACAATGTTTGGCATGGGCCCTCAAATCCTCAAAATGTTCTACAGCCACGCCATTGAGAGCATCTTGACTGGCTGCATCCCTGCTTGGTAGGCAACAGCACCGCCCTCGATCACATGGCGCTACAGAGGGTGGTGCACAGAGGGTGGTGCGGACAGCCCAGTACATCACTGGGGCCTAGCTCCCTGCCATCCATGACCTCTGTATCAGGCAGTGTGAAAGGAAGGCCCGGAAAATCGTTAAAGACTCCAGCCAACCAAGCCATAGACTGTTCTCTCTGCTTCCGCACAGCAAGCAGTACCGGTGCATCAAGTCTGGCTCCTGAACAGCTTCTATCCCCAAGCCATAAGACTGCTGAATAGCTAACAAAATGGCTTCACGGACTATCTGAGTTGACCCTTGTATTTTATTTTTGCACTGACTCTACACACTCACACACACTGACACTCCAACACACTCACTTAATTTGCTCACACACACATAACATGCACACACATGTATACTGACTCTACACACACGCACACACACTCACATACAATCATCATATACGCTGCTGCTACTCTATTTATCATATATCCTGATACCTAGTCACCTTACCCCTATAAAGTATATATCTACCTCTATCACTCCAGTATCCTTGCACATTGTAAATATGGTATTGGTAGAATACTTCTCGTGTTCTTCTTTATTTCGTAATTTTTTTCTTGTGTTTTTGTTATTTTCTTTACTACATTGATATTGATGACTGCATTGTTGGGTTTAGAGCTTGCAAGAAAGGCATTTCACTCTAATTGTGCACGTGACTTTAAAACTTGAAAGTTAAAGCTGGCAAGGAGACACAGGAGGTGATGGCGGTGACTAGCCACAGTAACAAGACCAGTGTGCGTCACTACTGGGCTCCATCTTCTACCGACCGCAGAATATGGAGCCACACCCTTTCAGGGGCCTCTGCCACTGCCAGAGATGTTGGAGGAAGCCGGGCCTCTGCTGGAGTGGAGGAGTTATTGTTGTCTTTATCCACTTTTATATCACTTACAGTAGTTCAAGCTACTTTGCAAATTGCAACCATTAATACTGAGCTTGTTAAGGTTTCCGGATTTAGGCTGCATATCTTCCGCCATTTTCTTCTAATCTGAAAATGTTGTGAAGCCACACCCATTTTCTGAAGAATTGCATTATGGGCCCTAAAACCATGGAAATAGTGTCCACTGCTTGTTTACTTAGTATTTTGGCGAATGTAGTACGACATCCGGGAACTTTTGACATGCTAACTATATCAATACTATGACCAATAAGCATACTACACACTCAAGTTATGTCACAAATAGTATGGTTAGTGTGAGTATTCGAACACAGTTTATGTGTTCATGCTTACATAATGCATGCTCTAGAATGCCCTACAAGCCAATCAGAAATTAGTATGCAACAATGCTATGTTAGAAAATGTTAACTAGTGTGCTCAGGCCTCATATTTGCAATAGTGCTATATCTCTAACAATATTGCATTATTACATATGTCTGTCAAAACTCAAAAAAGAAACCTCTCATTTAAAATAATAGATTAACTAAAAGACACTATGATACACCTATTCACCACACTGCTCTAGACCCTTATTCTGTTACCTGTTTCACACTACTGAGCTGTAGCGGTTTCGCATCTACCATAGTTGCTGGAACCGTGTTTGAAAGGACAATGTGAAAAGAAAATAGCACAGACCGGTTCAGGTCGCCTAGTGTGAAAAGGGTATGAGGGTTGCTGTGAAAGCCGCCTGGCAGTCAGACACACTCCTGTGCGATTCCTTTAGGCCTACATTTTTGACACTACTGAGCCAAGCTGTACTGCTCTGGCATGGTTATGCATCTACCATAGATGCTGTAATGATGCTGGAAAGGCCTGCACAGTATGGTTCAGGTTGGGACGATTGTGCGAAATGAGTGAGAGCCCTGTGAGAGCCCTGCAGCTGCAGCCTGGCAGTCAGCTACATTCTTGTGCTCTCCACTAAGGCCTGCACTTTATTCGCCCTTGGCCTTTAGCGCTGAGAACAGTCTTGAACTCCTATTAATATCATCCAGGCCATTATTTTGCCCTTTGACTTTTTATACTGTAACCGTAGAACCCACCGGTAAATGTCACATGACATGTGAGCTGTATTTAGTCTGCTGAACCCCATTCCACTCTTCCTTTCTCACTACAACAAGTTTGGTAACGCTTTACTTCAGTCCTCTTTCAGCTGGAGCAGTGATAGCACCAGTGTTGGAGCAGTGAACTACATATAGTTCAACTAGTCATTTAACTACATTTTGCAGTAGCTTGGTGGCAGTTGAACTAAATAAAAATCTTGGTAGTGTTCTTTTTCGCCATGTAGAGGTGTAGCTAACTAGTGGAACTACACACTACTCTTTTGCTAAAAGAAAATACAATATGGGTGATGCAGGCATGAATTCCCTTTATTTTTCGCAATCAGACCTGCCTAATTCTTATTTGATACAGTTTTTTTGTTTAATATGCTAAACTATACATTCTGTTAACATCTGACTCCAGAGTGATCTGTTCTTGCAAGTTGTAGTCTATGACATTTCAGATCTAGATATGATAATTTATCACAAAGTTGTTTGAAGGTAGTGAACTACTTTTTCAAAGTAACTAGTTAAGTAAACTATATTTTTCTTAAGGGTAACTTAACTTAATTGGTAACTTGGTAAACTATATTTTCAGAGTAGCTTCCCCAACACTGGATAGCACTGTATGTGATAGTAATAATGCATAGTCTTTGGTAGGCCTACTTAACTGGTACCAAACCTTACAAAGTGGAACTGGTTTCAATTAATACCAAAGAAACCAATTAATATTACCATGTAATTACAATGTAATGACTAATTTACTGTGAAATATGAGTTAATACCAGTTTAATAGTGGACTGTGAAATAAAGAGCCACCAAGTTTAGCAACAACTCTTTGATCAGTTACATTTCGCTTTTCCTAATACTACGACGGAATGTCTAATTCCTTCTACATACATGTCCGTTTAGCCATGTTTCAATGATTGATTCCATTTCGATGACCTCAGCACTGGCTTCTTGCGTGTAATTATTCTATTGATCAAATAAGAGCGCAGCCTCAAGATGATTGGTAGGCCCTGTTGATAAACTCTGCACTGCTTTGGGTTTGGTTGGTATTCAAACAGAGAATGATGCAATAGGCAAACTAGACTGTGACCCTGCCTGGTCTCTGTCACAACGGCATTATACCCATGTGGCTCAGATCTTTGGGTTAGAAGTTGTTGTAAACATTCTCTCAAGAATCTTAGTAGCTTTCTGGTTCGCTTTCTGAACCTGCTGTATGCCCCGTGTAGCTCAGTTGGTAGAGCATGGCGCTTGCAACGCCAGGGTTGTGGGTTCATTTCCCACGGGGGGCCAGTATGAAAAAAATGTATGCACTCACTAACTGTAAGTCGCTCTGGATAAGAGTGTCTGCTAAAATGTAAATGTAAAATGTATGTTTGCTGTATGGTTGCTGTATGGTTCATTTGCATGGTCTCTTGTTGGACTAACTGAAGTGCCATGACTTCTTTACTCATTGCCTTATTTCCAGGTTAAAGGGATGGTTCACCACAAAATCCAAGTTTGTCAGATGTTTTCAAAGTGACAAGTTAAGTAGATATTTTTAGTAGATACCTGTTATATATATATATATATATATATATATATTAGGTTTAATCTGTAGACCTGAATCTAAAATGGATAGGAATGTTTGAGTGTCTTATTCCATTTATTAAACAATATATTCTGAGAGAACACAGTCAGTTGTAAAGGTAAATAAATATAGTGCAAGGTGTAGGCTAGGTGTGTACATTATGTCAATGAACTCTTTAACCTATGTACTGTAGATTCTGCTGAAGGGTCCTACAAGGGAGACTGAGAGTATCAAACCTAGCTCTTTATTCATTTACAGAGCTAGCTGGGTCCTGTTGTTGACATGATGCTAGGGTTGGGGCACAAATACAGGCCTTCAGAAAGTATTCACACACTTATTCCACATTTTGTTGAGTTACATCCTGAATTTTAAATTGATTACATTTAGATTTTTTGTCACTGGCATTCACACAATACCATATATTGTGAAAGTCGAATTATGAAAAGGCAAAATCCTAGAAGAAAACCTGGTTCAGTTTGCTTTCCAACAGACACTGGGAGACTAATTCACCTTACAGCGGGACAATAACCTAAAACACAAGGCCAAATATACACTGGAGTTGCTTACTAAGATGACATTGAATGATCCTGAGTGGCCTAGTTACAGTTTAGACTTAAATCAGCTTGACAGAGCTTGGAGAATTTAAAAAAATAATAATGTGCAAATATTGTACAATCCAGGTGTGCAAAGCTCTTAGCGACTTACCCAGAAAGACTCACAGCTGTAAAGGTGATTCTAACATGTATTGACTCAGAGTTGTGAAATTAGATATTTCTGTATTTCATTTTCAATACATTTGCAAAAAAAATCTAAAAACATGTTTTCATTTTGTCATTATGGGGTATTGTATGTAGATAGGTGAGAAAAAAATATATTGAATCCATTTTGAATTCAGGCTGTAACACACAGTCAAACTTATTCCATGGAGAGCCGAGTTTCTCAATTGATGAATTAAGGTCACTAGATAGTAAGGAACTCCCCTCACCTGGTTGTCTAGGTCTTAATTGAAAGGAAAAAACAAAAACCTGCAGACACTCGGCCCTCGGTGGAATGAGTTTGACACCCCTGCTGTAACACAATTAAATGTGGAATAAGTCAAGGGGTATGAATACTTTTCAATGTGGCATCCAACATCTTTTATCCGCACTAACAAAGCGAAATATTGTTTCCTTCATACGCTGACAGGCCTAGATTCAAATTGGAGTACTGTCCTTTTAAATGTAAAAGTGGGCGGGATCCGACCATGGGGGAACTGACGAGTGTGTACGTGTGGCAGGCTGTGCTGTGCATTCGCCTCCACTGAATCCGCGGATCACACGGGCTGTCAACTTTATTTTGGAAAATGACGAAAATCACAGTAGTCAAAACCAAGGCATATCCCGACCAGAAGCCTGGTACGAGTGGCCTGAGGAAAAGGGTGACAGTCTTTCAAACGAATGAGCACTATGCAGAGAACTTCATTCAGAGCATTATTTCTTGCATCGACCCAGCGGAGCGTCAGCCTGGACTGCTCGTAGTGGGAGGAGATGGAAGGTTTTTCATGAAAGAAGCCATTCAGTTGATCATCCAGATCGCCGCTGCTAATGGGGTCAGTAATAATTCTGTCATTGTCCAGCTGTAGTCCCTAAAACATGACTCTTAAACCTAGGCCTCATCCTCAAATGTGCACAGCATTAGCAGCTAGCAGCTAGCCTAGCATCTTTGACAGCTCCCGGTGTTGACAGTGGCAGCTCCAATCAGTGATACATTGTAGCGCGTCTCATTGATTGTATTGAAGTTTGGCGGATATATTGTTGCTGGTCCGGATACATTCATTTCAATTGTTGTCATATAGACTAAAATAACTATCAGCCCGAGCCTACATTTGCTTAAGCTATATTAATTTTGAAAATATAGGCCTAGATGACAATTCTCTCTCCATATCAAATAACATGCATAGGATAATTGTGAAGAAAGTATTGGATCCTCATGGACTTTGAAGTTCGCTGACGTGCTTGCCCCATGTATCGGAACGTGATAGGGGTCAGTGGAGTTCCTAAACTGTCTCTGGTGCTAAATGACCCCGCTGATCTTTCGATGAAGTGCACGGAGATGGCATGTTAAATGGTAGGATACCCTTGCCCTTTCCCCAGGTGACGCAAAACAACACTACACCATCCCGTTCTCCTAATGTAGCCTAATCAGTCAGTGGGCGCTCTTCCTTGCCACGAATGTTTAGTATACAAACAAAGACAACGGTTCTCTGCAAGGTTGTAGTAATCGGAAAAAGTGCAACATTGAGGGGTTGTTTTATTAGGAGAGACTGTTTTTGGATGTCGGTGACACAGCCGGGTTCTGTTCGTTCCCTCTGCGACTTTAGAGGAAGGCGTGGTGGTGTGCTGTCACGTAACCCTGCGGTTTGCATTACAGAGAGATGGGCATTGGGTACACAGGCACATGTTAAACTAGACACACAATTACCTCCTCGCTGAACACGATGTACAGACAGACCGATGTCATTATCACATCATATAGCTCCAATATGTTCAGTCCCATTATGATCCTTCAACTCTACTCTTTATGCATCTTATTCATGATGAGTAATGTATTGGTGCGTTTTATTTGCTACCAATGTCATCCTCACTTTTGATGTAGGCCTATTATGTAAGTTAAAGGGGATGTTACCCTGATGTAGTCACAAATACACAATTACACAATAAACTAATGAAAATAATAATTTGGGAAGGGTTTATATTAGTCCACAAGTATGTAATAGAAATGTGTTTCTTGCTGATCCCTTGAGCAAGGCACTTAACCACAATTGGTCCACCCCCCAGGCCCCTGGACCAATTGGGGTTAAGTGCCTTGCACCCCCCCAGGCCCCTGGACCAATTGGGGTTAAGTGCCTTGCTCAAGGGATCAGCGATTTATTTTTTACCTTGTCAGCTCCAGGATTCGAACCGGGGAACTTTCGGTTACTGGCCCAATGCTTTAATCTCGAGGCTATATGCTGCCCCGTAGTCATAGCAATATCGTAAACACAATATCCTACCTACCCCCCCAAACATTGTTTACTTTACATACTATCCCGTGTCACTCAGTTGCTTGTTTAGCTCCCACATAGCAGCCTGACCTCACCACTGGCATGGCGTGTTGAATCCGTATACTCCTCTCCTATTTCCATCTTCACAGTGTGTAGACTGAATAGGTGAATGGAATCAAATAAATAGGACGTACGGTATGTAAAGGAGTGTACAGCACATTCACTAAATGTTGCTAGTCATACAAAAGCTGGCCTCAATCTTCGTTAGGAGAGATGTCAAGCACTCCAGTTCCAGTGAAATATATTCACAGGGGTTTCTAAATGTGTGTGTGTGTGGTTTTCTGAAAGTACAGAGTAAAGAAATTGTAATTAGTATGCAATATTGGTACAATATCAGGATATAAACAGCAAGACAATATCACAGCGGTAAAATAATAAGCAACTATTAGAATAGTAAGGCATATTGACAATATGACCTTTATATTGCACCATTCATTAACATAGGCAAAACCTAATTAAAAAGCTCCACAAGGGGGCAGGGCAGAGCTATACAATGAACAGGCCAAATGGCTACACAAGCCAAAGGGCCATGATGACCACTTCAAAGGAGTAATAGAAGCTAGCATTTCTCAGACGCCATATTAGCATACAGATTACAGAACTAATGGAGAAATGTACATAACCACATGAAAGGAAAAGATACCATAACGGCTATGAAATGAGTATAATAAAGAAGGCTGTCTACACATTCTCTATACATGTACCAATTATTGGGTATATACCACCACGTGCAAATCAATTAGCTAGCAATGGAAAATAACTTAACTCTGTTTGCTTAAGTAGAAACAACATAGCATGATTACATCAAAGAAATATGCATTATGATAAGGTACTTGCTGTTGCATGAATGCAAACATGTACAAAGTGATTATCGGTAATGAAACAACAAAAGGCCAGGAGGAAAATGCGCTGCTCCACTCAATAAGTTTGGGCAGGTTCTGACCAGAGAATATGCACATGTGGGCATGTGCAGAATGGCAGGGAATATTGTACACAGTATAACATATAAAGAAATGACATCAGAGAATGATAATTGGCCCATTGTTCTCTCCAACCCTCTCTTTCTCTCCTGTCTCCATGTAGATCGGCCACCTGATCATCGGTCAGGATGGCATCATGTCCACCCCTGCTGTGTCCTGTGTGATCCGCAAGCTCAAAGCTGTGGGAGGAATCATCCTTACGGCCAGCCACAACCCTGGTGGCCCCAACGGAGACTTTGGCATCAAGTACAACATAGCCTCCGGAGGTGAGATGGGACAGGAGGGTGAGGAGAGGGATAGGAAGGAGAGAGATGACATGGAGAGGTAGGAAGACAGGAAGTGGATAAACAGGGAAGGGAGGAGAGAGACCAGTGAGAGATGGGGACAGGGGATGAGACGGTGCTGGCGGGTGACATTTAAACTTCACTGACCTTTGTGACGAAGATTTACATGTACAGTTTGGTCATTTAGCAGACTCTCTTATCCAGAGCGACTTACAGTTAATGCATTCATCTTAAGATAGCTAGATGGGACAACCACATATCACAGTCATAGTAAGTACATTTTTCCTCAAAGTAGCTATCGGCAAAGTCAGAGCTAGTAAGAGTTTCAGGATAGGGTGAGCAGAACAATGCTGATATACTTCAATCGATCATTTTAAGACAAAGTTTAGGATACATAGTAATGGAGTATGGCTGTTTTACTGTATTGCGTAACATTTCTCTAACCTCTTCCTTATCCTCCTCGCCCTATTGTATTTCTCTGCCCCCAGGTCCTGCTCCAGAGGGAATCACAGACAAAATCTTCCAGATCAGCAAGAGCCTAACAGAGTACCACATATGCCCTGACCTCAAAGTGGACATCTCCAAGATCGGCAAGCAGACTTTTGAGGTGGACACATTCAAGCCCATGACAGGTATTGTAGGATCGGACGGGATTAGCTGGGAGTCAGCTCTCAACGGACTGGAATGGGTTAGCTTGGAGACCAAATCTGTGAGAAGCTCAGTAAAGCACTGTAAACTAATGTATGTGCATATGTAATATCGTTTTATAATGTGTCTGTCTTATCCTGAGTCTAGAAAAATGCTACAGTAAATCTTATCAATCCTAACTGCTGTTTGTCCTCTACAGTGGAGATTGTGGACTCTGTGGAGGCCTACGCTGAGATGCTGAGGGGAATCTTTGACTTCCATGCCTTGAAGGGGCTGGTGTCTGGACCCAATCACATTAAAGTCCGTCTGGACGCCATGCATGGAGGTACGGAACACATACTGTAGCCTACCTCTCCGGCGCTGGCTGCTGTATGACTCCTCTCCCATCCCCAATGTTTTGTATTGAATTGGCTTGTATATATATTTTTTGAAATGATGTCTAACCAAGGTAGATTAATTAGATTCCTGCTCTCAGTACTGTTTGTATCTCCAGGACAAACACCGTTTTGTGTCTTCAGTACTGTGTGACATATTGTCCAAATGAGTCTAATCTCTTAAGTGCTGTTTTTAGTTCAGTTAGATTCCCAACACACACACAATGCACATCCACACCCATATACATAATTACCTTTGCCCCCCTCCACAGTGGTTGGACCCTATGTGAAGAAGATCGTCTGTGAGGAGTTGGGCGCTGCCGCCGATGGTGCTTTCAACTGTGTCCCCAAGGAGGACTTTGGTGGTCACCACCCTGACCCCAATCTGACCTATGCCTCTGACCTGGTCAACGCCATGAAGGGAGGAGAGTACGACCTTGGAGCCGCCTTCGATGGGGACGGTGTAAGTTGACAGTCGGGGGGACCAGTCCTGGATTTCAGCCTCATCTCATCCTTGCATAGTCTGACGTTACCATACTCCCAAGTCTTCTTCATCACTCGGCTGTAGGAAGCCTGGAATTGAAGCTATTCCTTGCATGACTGGTGTCCCCTAGTGTCAGTAGTACCAGTCCTTGTATCAGCCCACAATCCATCCAACCTCTTCTTTACCTAGTCTCTGCTGCAGTCGGTTCAGATGCTGATCCTCCCCTACCCTCTCCTCTCCTCCCCTCTCCTCCCCTACTCTCTCCTTTCCGCTCCCCAGGATCGTAATATGGTCCTGGGAAAGCATGGCTTCTTCGTCAACCCATCTGACTCTGTGGCCGTCATCGCAGCCAACATCACCTGCATCCCCTACTTCCAGAAGACTGGGGTCAAAGGTCTGGCCCGCAGCATGCCCACAAGCGGAGCTCTGGACAAGTGAGCCTGACGTCCACACACAGTCCATTCATAGCTTCTTCTTGGTTGTGCCTTAAATGTTTATTTATTAAATGTATTTTACTGGGACAGTGCACATTAATCAGCATTTGCTTCCTCATCAGTGTTTAATTGCCGGAGTTAGCAAAAGAGCAAATGTTCATGTCCTATCTCTGTCCCTCAGTGTGGCTAAAGCCCTGAAGATGAATCTGTATGAGACTCCTACTGGCTGGAAGTTCTTCGGCAACCTGATGGACGCTGGCAAGCTGTCTCTGTGTGGAGAGGAGAGCTTCGGCACTGGTGAGTGAGGGATCCACTTTTTCAAGTAACATAACATCCTGATCTAGCCTGTTACTATGACCCATCAGCTCAAACATTTGGATGAATCAAATTGATGTTACTTCGTTCCAGTCAGTTGGGCAAGGCATTGTGGTGAGAGGTGTTAGTACAAGTCTTAACCACCACCCTTCTTCCCCTCCTCTCTTCATTGTTTACCCCAGGCTCTGATCACATCCGTGAGAAGGACGGCTTGTGGGCGGTGCTAGCCTGGATGTCCATCCTAGCCCACAGGAAGCAGAGCGTGGAGGAGATCATGAAAGACCACTGGAACAAATTTGGCAGGAACTTCTTCACCAGGTAAGTCTGGGATGGACTCTTTTGCTCTGCTACCCTCCAGTGGTGAGATAGAGAACTGCAGTCTGTCTGCATCAGGGCCACATTGTGTAGGGCAGGCCTTTGTTTCTCATAGAGTATTAGAGTACTTATATAACTATTGTTAGGTTTTCTTTTATATCAAGTTATTCGATGATAGCCTCCATAAATGTACAGTCTTCCTATTAAGACCATTCCCCAACCCATCCCGTCTACACCAGGTATGACTATGAAGAGGTGGACTCAGACAAAGCCAACACCATGATCAAGGAGCTGGAGGCTACGATGTTTGACAAGTCCTTTGTGGGCCAGAAGTTCTCGTCAGGAGATAAAAGTTATGAGGTGGCGGTCTCTGACAACTTTGCTTACACCGACCCCGTGGACGGCAGCGTCTCCAAGAACCAGGTAAGAGACAGGACCCAGGGGGCATCTAGGTTGAGACACCCCCATTATGGGACAGGATCCAGGGGGGGATCTAGGTTGAGACACCCCATTATGGGACAGGATCCAGGGGGTGTCTAGGCAGAGCCATTGCAACATGCAATTTGGGTATAGTTTGATGACTGTAAGTCGCTTTGGATAAAAGCGTCTGCTAAATGGCTTATTATTATTATTATTATTATTATTATTATTATTATTATTATTATTATGTATAAATGATGGAGAGTTCTAACAATGTTATGTTACTTGTTAATAGAAAGATGACCATCACATTTGATGAATGATCCTCCCTATGTAGGGATTTGAAGTATCACCAGAGGCACTTGCATACTGTACCTTGAACAATTCCATTGTTGTTATTCGTTTTTTTGCTCCATATTTCCAGTAAATTGAGTTCCTTAAGTCATTTCACCATAGTCATCATATAGTCAGGCTCTCTCTCTGTCTCTCAGGGTCTGAGGATCGTCTTTTCCGACGGCTCCAGGATCATCTTCCGTCTCAGTGGGACAGGCAGCGCCGGGGCAACCGTCAGGCTCTACATAGACAGCTATGAGAAGGACCCCGCCAAGATCTACGGCGACGCACAGGTGAGGGCTGAGGATGATGGGATGTGACGGGGCACAGTGGGGGAGCCCTTATACTTGTCATGACGGCTCGATGGGAGATTCAATATTTACAAGGTTTGTTACGCTGTCAGAGGGAATAGCTCTCAAAAAGCTTCCCCTCAGCCTGGAGGGGGAGGGCTGGAATCTGGACATAGCAGCCAGCTTGTTTAGAATTCTATTTAACCTTTTTTTAACCAGATTAGTGTCGTTGAGATAAAAAAATAATATATTTTTCAAGAGAGACCTGGACCAAGACAGCAGCATGAACACATCAGTTTCAGACGAACAGGCAGACCAAAGATACATCAAACCAGATGAAGATGCATCGTGATATAAAAAGCAGCATGTCAGTAAAGAACATGTACACAACACAAGTCAGAAAAAAACGACTGCAATACGTCAAATTGCAGAATCAAAAATATTTCAAATAAAACAGTATGCTTGCTTACATAAGGCAATGCCAACTAGTGACATCGGGTGACAACTAGAAACATATACATGTCTCAACAACCTGTTAATCTGTTTGTCCTTTGAACTATTCTAGGGACACCAGGTCTTGGGGTTTTAGGTTGGCTTGGAGGGAATTCCAAGACCAAGAGGCTGAGTAATGAAAATACTTTTTTCCATGCTCTGTTCTAATGTTTGGCACTGTTAGTATAAAACAAGATTGGGATCTGAGCTTGTATCTGTTTTCATTTCGAACTAGAAGAGAGGAAAGATAAAATGGCAGTTTTCCTAAAATGGCCTTATAAATAATAATGTACCAGTGCTTCAGTCTGCGTGTTGCTATGTCCACCTGACAGCACTGTAGAGATCACAATGGTGAGTTAGACGTCTCTGATTAGTGACGCAATGAAGGGCTGCATGATATCATTAAGCTCGAGGCCCTGGGTCTGAACCCCGCCCTGTGCAACTGGGTCCTGGACTTCCTTACGGGCCGCCCCCAGGTGGTGAAGGTAGGAAACAACACCTCCACTAAGCTGATCCTCAACACTGGGGCCCCACAAGGGTGCTTGCTCAGCCCCCTCCTGTACTCCCTGTTCACCCATGACTGCGTGGTCAAGCCCGCCTCCAACTCAATCATCAAGTTTGCAGACAACACAACAGTAGTAGGCTTGATTACCAACAATGACGAGACCGCCTACAGGGAGGAGGTGAGGGCCCTGGGAGTGTGGTGCCAGGAAAATAACCTCTCACTCAACATCAACAAAACAAAGGAGATTATCGTGGACTTCAGGAAACAGCAGAGGGAGCACCCCCCTATCCACATCGATGGGACTGCAGTGGAGAAGATGGAAAGCTTCAAGTTCCTCAGCATACACATCACTGACAAACTGAAATGGTCCACCCACACAGACAGTGTGGTGAAGAAGGCGCAACAGTGGCTCTTCAACCTCAGGAGGCTGAAGAAATTTGGCTTAGCACCTAAAACCCTCACAAACCTTTACAGATGCACAATTGAGAGCATCCTGTTGGGCTTTATCACCGCCTGCTACGGCAACTGCACCGCCCACAACCGCAGGACTCTCCAGAGGGTGGTGCGGTCTGCCCAACGCATCACCGGGGGCAAACTACCAGCCCTCCAGGACACCTACAGCACCCTATGTCACAGGAAAGCCAAAAAGGCCATCAAGCACAACAACAACCCGAGCCACTGCCTGTTCACCCCGCTATCATCCAGAAGGCGAGGTCAGTACAGGTGCATCAAAGCTGGGACCGAGAGACTGAAAAACAGCTTCTATCTCAAGGCCATCAGACTGTTAAATAGCCTTCACTAGCACATTAGAGGCTGCTGCCTATATACATAGATCAGAAATCACTGGCCACTTTAATAAATGGAACACTACTCACTTTAATAATGTATACATGTCTTGCATTACTCATCATATATATATATATATATATATATACAGTGGGGGAAAAAAGTATTTAGTCACCCACCAATTGTGCAAGTTCTCCCACTTAAAAAGATGAGAGAGGCCTGTAATTTTCATCATAGGTACACGACAACTATGACAGACAAAATGAGAAAAAAAATCCAGAAAATCACATTGTAGGATTTTTTATGAATTTATTTGCAAATTATGGTGGAAAATAAGTATTTGGTCAATAACAAAAGTTTCTCAATACTTTGTTATATGCCCTTTGTTGGCAATGACACAGGTCAAACGTTTTCTGTAAGTCTTCACAAGGTTTTCACACACTGTTGCTGGTATTTTGGCCCATTCCTCCATGCAGATCTCCTCTAGAGCAGTGATGTTTTGGGGCTGTCGCTGGGCAACATGGACTTTCAACTCCCTCCAAAGAGTTTCTATGGGGTTGAGATCTGGAGACTGGCTAGGCCACTCCAGGACCTTGAAATGCTTCTTATGAAGCCACTCCTTCGTTGCCCGGGCGGTGTGTTTGGGATCATTGTCATGCTGAAAGACCCAGCCACATTTCATCTTCAATGCCCTTGCTAATGGAAGGAGGTTTTCACTCAAAATCTCACGATACATGGCCCCATTCATTCTTTCCTTTACACGGATCAGTCATCCTGGTCCCTTTGCAGAAAAACAGCCCCAAAGCATGATGTTTCCACCCCCATGCTTCACAGTAGGTATGGTGTTCTTTGGATGCAACTCAGCATTCTTTGTCCTCCAAACACGACGAGTTGAGTTTTTACCAAAAAGTTCTATTTTGGTTTCATCTGACCATATGACATTCTCCCAATCCTCTTCTGGATCATCCAAATGCACTCTAGCAAACTTCAGACGGGCCTGGACATGTACTGGCTTAAGCAGGGGGACACGTCTGGCACTGCAGGATTTGAGTCCCTGGCGGCGTAGTGTGTTACTGATGGTAGGCTTTGTTACTTTGGTCCCAGCTCTCTGTAGGTCATTCACTAGGTCCCCCCGTGTGGTTCTGGGATTTTTGCTCACCGTTCTTGTGATTATTTTGACCCCACGGGGCGAGATCTTGCGTGGAGCCCCAGATCGAGGGAGTTTATCAGTGGTCTTGTATGTCTTCCATTTCCTAATAATTGCTCCCACAGTTGATTTCTTCAAACCAAGCTGCTTACCTATTGCAGATTCAGTCTTCCCAGCCTGGTGCAGGTCTATAATTTTGTTTCTGGTGTCCTTTGACAGCTCTATGGTCTTGGCCATAGTGGAGTTTGGAGTGTGACTGTTTGAGGTTGTGGACAGGTGTCTTTTATACTGATAACAAGTTCAAACGGGTGCCATTAATACAGGTAACGTGTGGAGGACAGAGGAGCCTCTTAAAGAAGTTGTTACAGGTCTGTGAGAGCCAGAAATCTTGCTTGTTTGTAGGTGACCAAATACTTATTTTCCACCATAATTGGCAAATAAATTCATTAAAAATTCTACAATGTGATTTTCTGGATTTTTTTTCTTCTCAATTTGTCTTTCATAGTTGACGTGTACCTATGATGAAAATTACAGGCCTCTCTCATCTTTTTAAGTGGGAGAACTTGCACAATTGGTGGCTGACTAAATACTTTTTTTCCCCACTGTGTGTGTGTGTGTGTGTGTGTGTGTGTATATATATATATATATATATATATACTGTATTCTTTACTATTCTACTGTATCTTAGTCTATGCCGCTCTGACATTGCTTGTCCATATATTTATTTTTATATTCTTAATTCCATTGCTTTACTTAGATTTGTGTGTATTGGGTGTATGTTGTGAAATTGTTAGATATTACTGCACTGTCGGAGCTAGAAACATAAGGATTTCGCTACACCTGCAATAACATCTGCTAAATACATGAATGTGACCAATAAAATTTGATTTGATATACAGAGTCAAGAACCTTCAGTGTAGAGCTTGAGGATTGCACATAAATAGTATCAACATAGTCCAACACAGAGAGAAAGTACAACGAATCAACTCTGGTGGCAAAGGGAAAACAAGCTTTGTGCCGGTAATGAAATTCAATACACAGCTTGAGTTTCCTGACAAGGTTCTCTACATGGGTCGTGAAGCTCAACTTCTCATCCACCCAAACTCCCAGATATTTGTACGCTTTAACTTGCTCAATGGACTGCCCTGCCAAGGTAGGCATGTCATGGATTTCAGAGTGTTTAGCATTGGAAAATACCATGCATTTTGTTTTAGAGGAATTCAGAACAAGCTTCAAGTTGTACAGATTCTGGTGAGTGATGTTAAAAGCTGTTTGAGCTTTTTCAAAAGCCAGTTAAACTGCTGCCACTTGAATAGAGAACAGTGTCATCCGCATAAAAATGTACATCAGCGGTCTCCATCTGTCTCCCAATGTTGTTGATATAGACAAACAAAAATTGATCTTTGAGGCACACCTGAGTGCAGCTCTGATATCAGACTTAAAACAATTTGCCTTAACACACTGGGTCGTCAGGTCCAACAACAGTGCCTTCCAGAACTCCTAGTTGACTTGAGAGGGAATGTTTGGCTAAGAGTTGAGTCATGGTTGATATCAGGGCCAGGATGAAGTGGGGGAAAAGGAACCATGGGGGAAAAATAAGATTGAGAAGTACAGATTTGACACTTCATCAAGTGGTCAGGAGAGAGAATGATAGAGTAAGAAAAATAGACTGGCAGAAGGGGAAGAAACTCCCTGATAATCATTTTGGATAAAGAGGACCTCTATGGCACGGATTCATTTAGGCTCACAAATCTGAAAGGTTTGGATAGGTGAAAGCAATATTGCAGAGGCTCGGCTTGGCCTATTCGAGGGCAAGGTGGAGTTCTTTGTTTAGTCTAACTGTAGCACAGAAGGGGAAGGTGTTATGGTAAGGGGCTGTAGTCTAAAATTGACTGTTTGTCTTCCTCAGGTCATGCTGAAACCTCTGGTGGAGATTGCGCTGAAGATATCTGGGCTCCACGAGAAGACCGGACGCACCGGCCCCACTGTGATCACATAGACTGCCAAGCCCTGACAAACCCTTCAAGGTACCTCTGGCCTTTCAACCGTTCCACTTGTGCCTACCCTCTGACTTCCAGAAGAACAATCTCACCTCACCTGTACCGTAATGTTCAAACAAAGCCTTCAAAGGTAACACATCCATTCACCATGAATAAAAAGTCTACAAAAAACTATTGTCGCACTCGTGTATTTATTTGGGAGATATCAATATATTGTTCAATATACAGTGCATTTAGAAAGTATTCACACCGCTTGACTTTTTCCACATTTTGTTGTGTTCCAGACGAATTTTAAATTGATTCAATTGAGTTTTGTCACTGGCTTACACACAAAACCCCATAATGTCAAAGTGGAATTATGTTTTTTTTAAATTTTTTATATTTTTATTTATATATTATCTAATCAAGCCTAGTGTTTTGTTTTTCATAAATATTTTACTAAATTCTACAATAATTATATTTTGTTTGTTTTTACTCCTGAACTTCCTCCGATCATTTTCATGATGTCCATCTGTTAAATCAATTTTAGTCCCACAAATTGTGGAAAAAGTCAAGGGGTGGGAATACTTTCTGAATGTTGGAAAATATATTTATTGATGATTTGGATTTGCATTTCTTACTGAACATGCAAAGGCAGTATGAGCAGTCAGTTTTGTTGTCCGTAGCGGCGCGCACACACAAACACGCACACACTCTATCACCACCACGCCCGGATTCGGTGAGAGATATCAATCACTCCCGGAATGCCTGATTTAGCCAATCAGCTGAGAGATCAGTGCTGGGATGTGGTTTTGGTGGTGAGATCACAGCCAACCAGCCTTGGGACCTGCATAGTCAACAAGACTCCCCGTGCTGCAAAGAAGGACCTAGTTAAGCTGCAGCTGGCCCAGAACAGAGCAGCTAATATCAATACTATGCATGCCAAACTCTTTGCTAAGAGTTGAGGAAAGACTGACTGCATCGCTTCTTGTTTTTATAAGAAACATTGTGGGTTGGAAATTCCAAATTGTTAGCATAGTCAATTTACACACAGCACTGACACACACACTTACCCACAGACATGCAACCAGGGGTCTTTTCACAGTCCCCAGGTCCAGAACAAATTCAAGGAAATGTATAGCATTATACAGAGCCATAAGTGCATGGAACTCCCTTCCAACTCATATAGCGCAAGTGAACAGCAAACCTGGTTTAAAAATACATATAAAGCAACACCTCACGGCACAACGCCTCTCCCCCATGTGACCTACTTGTGTATGTACTGACATGTATGTGTCATTAATAGATGCACACTACATGTTAATGTTTGTAAATTGTAAAGTATTTTGTCTAATGTAGTTTTCGTAATGTGTTGGACCCCAGTAAGACTAGATGTCGCCATTGGTGTTGGCTAATGGGGATCCTAAAAAATACAATAAAAATCTGTCATTCATATATATATATATATATATATATATATATATATATATATATATATATATATATATATATATATATATATATATACACACACACACAGTTGAAGTCGGAAGTTTACATACACCTTAGCCAAATACATTTAAACTCAGTTTTTCACAATTCCTGACATTTAATCCTGGTAAAAATTCCCTGTTTTAGGTCAGTTAGGATCACCACTTTATTTTAAGAATGTGAAATGTCAGAATAATAGTAGAGAGAATGATTTATTTCAGCTTTTATTTATTTCATCACATTCCCAGTGGGTCAGAAGTATACATACACTCAATTAGTATTTGGTAGCATTGCCTTTAAATTGTTTAACTTGGGTCAAACATTTCGGGTAGCCTTCCACAAGCTTCCCACAATAAGTTGGGTGAATTTTGGCCCATTCCTCCTGACAGAGCTGGTGTAACTGAGTCAGGTTTGTAGGCCTCCTTGCTTGCACACGCTTTTTCAGTTCTGCCCACAAATGTTCTATAGGATTGAGGTCAGGGCTTTGTGATGGCCACTCCAATAACTTGACTTTGTTGTCCTTAAGCCATTGTGCCAACAACTTTGGAAGTATGCTTGGGGTCATTGTCCATTTGGAAGACCCATTTGCGACCAAGCTTTAACTTCCTGACTGATGTCTTGAGATGTTGCTTCAATATATCCACATAATTTTCCTTCCTCATGATGCCATCTATTTTGTGAAGTGCACCAGTCCCTCCTGGAGCAAAGCACCCCCACAGCATGATGCTGCCACCCCCGTGCTTCATGGTTGGGTTTGTGTTCTTCGGCTTGCAAGCCTTCCCCTTTTTCCTCCAAACATAATGATGGTCATTATGGCCAAACAGTTCTATTTTTGTTTCATCAGACCAGAGGACATTTCTCCAAAAAGTACGATCTTTGTCCCCATGTGCAGTTGCAAACCGTAGTCTGGCTTTTTTATGGCGGTTTTGGAGCAGTGGCTTCTTCCTTGCTGAGCGGCCTTTCAGGTTATGTCAATATAGGACTCGTTTTACTGTGCATATAGATACTTTTGTACCTGTTTCCTCCAGCATCTTCACAAGGTCCTTTGCTGTTGTTCTGGGATTGATTTGCACTTTTCGCACCAAAGTACGTTCATCTCTACGAGACAGAACGCGTCTCCTTCCTGAGCAGTATGAGAGCTGCATGGTCCCATGGTGTTTATACTTGCGTACTATTGTTTGTACAGATGAACGTGGTACCTTCAGGCATTTGGAAATTGCTCCCAAGGATGAACCAGACTTGTGGAGGTCTACAATTATTTTTCTGAGGTCTTGGCTGAGTTCTTTTGATTTCCCCATGATGTCAAGCAAAGAGGCACTCCATTTGAAGGTAGGCCTTGAAATACATCCATAGGTACACCTCCAATTGACTCAAATGAGGTCAATTAGCCTATCAGAATCTTCTAAAGCCATGACATCATTTTCTGGAATTTTCCAAGCTGTTTAAAGGCACAGTCAACTTAGTGTATGTAAACTTCTGACCGACTGGAATTGTGATACAGTGAATTATAAGTGAAATAATCTGTAAACAATTGCTGGAAAAGTTACTTGTGTCATGCACAAAGTAGATGTCCTAACCGACTTGCCAAAACTATAGTTTGTTAACAAGAAATTTGTGGAGTGGTTGAAAAACAAGGTTTAATGTCTCCAACCTAAGTGTATGTAAACTTCTGACTTCAACTGTATATATATATATATATATATATATATATATATATATATATATATATATATATATATATATATATATATATATATATATATATACATTCATTCATTCATATACATACATACATACAGTGAGGGAAAAAAGTATTTGATCCCCTGCTGATTTTGTACATTTGCCCACTGACAAAGAAATTATCAGTCTATAATTTTAATGGTAGGTTTATTTGAACAGTGAGAGACAGAATAACAAAACAAAAATCCAGAAAAACGCATGTCAAAAATGTTATAAATTGATTTGCATTTTAATGAGGGAAATAAGTATTTGACCCCCTCTCAATCAGAAAGATTTCTGGCTCCCAGGTGTCTTTTATACAGGTAACGAGCTGAGATTGGGAGCGCACTCTTAAAGGGAGTGCTCCTAATCTCAGCTTGTTACCTGTATAAAAGACACCTGTCCACAGAAGCAATCAATCAATCAGATTCCAAACTCTCCACCATGGCCAAGACCAAAGAGCTCTCCAAGGATGTCAGGGACAAGATTGTAGACCTACACCAGGCTGGAATGGGCTACAAGACCATCGCCAAGCAGCTTGGTGAGAAGGTGACAACAGTTGGTGCGATTATTTGCAAATGGAAGAAACACAAAGTAACTGTCAATCTCCCTCGGCCTGGGGCTCCATGCAAGATCTCACCTCGTGGAGTTGCAATGATCATGAGAACGGTGAGGAATCAGCCCAGAACTACACGGGAGGATCTTGTCAATGATCTCAAGGCAGCTGGGACCATAGTCACCAAGAAAACAATTGGTAACACACTACGCCGTGAAGGACTGAAATCCTGCAGTGCCCGCAAGGTCCCCCTGCTCAAGAAAGCACATATACAGGGCCGTCTGAAGTTTGCCAATGAACATCTGAATGATTCAGAGGAGAACTGGGTGAAAGTGTTGTGGTCAGATGAGACCAAAATCGAGGTCTTTGGCATCAACTCAACTCGCCGTGTTTGGAGGAGGAGGAATGCTGCCTATGACCCCAAGAACACCACCCCCACCGTCAAACATGGAGGTGTAAACATTATGCTTTGGGGGTGTTTTTCTGCTAAGGGGACAGGACAACTTCACCGCATCAAAGGGACGATGGACGGGGCCATGTACCGTCAAATCTTGGGTGAGAACCTCCTTCTCTCAGCCAGGGCATTGAAAATGGGTCGTGGATGGGTATTCCAGCATGACAATGACCCAAAACACACGCCAAGGCAACAAAGGAGTGGCTCAAGAAGAAGCATATTAAGGTCCTGGAGTGGCCTAGCCAGTCTCCAGACCTTAATCCCATAGAAAATCTGTGGAGGGAGCTGAAGGTTTGAGTTGCCAAATGTCAGCCTCGAAACCTTAATGACTTGGAGAAGATCTGCAAAGAGGAGTGGCACAAAATCCCTCCTGAGATGTGTGCAAACCTGGTGGCCAACTACAAGAAACGTCTGACCTCTGTGATTGCCAACAAGGGTTTTGCCACCAAGTACTAAGTCATGTTTTGCAGAGGGGTCAAATACTTATTTCCCTCATTAAAATGCAAATAAATTTAACATTTTTGACATGCGTTTTTCTGGATTTTTCTGTTGTTATTATGTCTCTCACTGTTCAAATAAACCTACCATTAAAATTATAGACTGATCGTGTCTTTGTCAGTGGGCAAACGTACAAAATCAGCAGGGGATCAAATACTTTTTTCCCTCACTGTACATACACTACCGTTCAAAAGTTTGGGGTCACTTAGAAATTTGGCAGCTTCATTAAATAGTATCCGCAAAGCACCAGTCTCAACGTCAACAGTGAACAGGCGACTCCGGGATGCTGACCTAGGCAGAGTTGCAAAGAAAAAGTCCAGTGTTCTTTTGCCAATCTTAATATTTTATTTTTATTGGCCAGTCTGAGATATGGCTTTTTCTTTGCAACTCTGCCTAGAAGGTCAGCATCCCGGAGTCGCCTCTTCACTGTTGACGTTGAGACTGGTGTTTTACGGGTACTATTTAATGAAGCTG